CACTTCTAGGTGTGCTACTTGGCCCGTCAGATCCTAATTCACTGAAACACAGCACTCCTTCTGACCCTGGACCTTACAGGAAGAGCCTGAAGGAGAGGGTGGCACTGGAGCTGCTGTAAAATGGAACATACCCAAGAAGGAACTCAACCTGAGGCAGTTGAGACACGTGGCTGTGTTCAGAGATGAGGGAAAATGAAGGCCAGAGAAACTATGGGACGAGATGCAGGTAGAATCCTGCAAACCTGCATGAACTGGGCCTGGTGCAGCATTCACGTGGACTCCATAACCCCATATATGATGTTCTTGGCACAGCACCACCCTCTCTCCCCTATTTCTCTCTTGAGAACTTGGTAAAAGAGAATTGACTCCCTCTCCTCACTGCTTCTACAAAGCAGCTACTTATTTCCTTCCATCATTATCCTTAATTTTGTGTTTCTCCATCTGGTTTCCATTTCTTCCCAGAAGGCTCTTGATGCCCTTATTTCCAAACTCTTTTCTGTACAAGAAGCTATTTCTTTCCCACCAATTTTTGACATCCATTCGGGAAAACACACCCAGAGCCTCTGGGCTTCTGTCTGTTCTGTTTTTCATTATTGCAATTGCAGTGTGGTTAAACCAGTAATGTCAAAACCATGTGTATGTGTTTGCAAGGCAGTCTAGCACAAAGTTTGATAAGAATGAGCTGAAACACACATGTATGTATATATACTTCTCTTTAGAGTAATGCAGTGTTTGGACAGAAATTGTAATTACATCTTGGAAAGGAGAACTAGAGAGAGGAACAAAAAAAAAACCTTGGTTTGAGATATAAGCCTTCCACATTTCAAGATGGGAAATATTTCAAACTAAATCTTTTTGGATATCAAAGGGTACCAAAATGTTTAGCAAAGCACAAAAAATTAAAATTATATAACCTATTAATAAATAAAAATGTTTTTCCTACAGGTAGATTGGAATTGCGGGTTTTTTTAGGCAAGGCCTTATTTTGACATTTCCGGGATTTTTACATTTATATTCAAACTCATCAAATATTGTCCTCAAGTGACCACACAATCACCTCTTGTGGTTTTCCTTCCCCTTTGGTTCTTCTCTTCAGACCTTTGGCTGACTGTTTTGCTACTGTGACCAGGACTGAAGTTCTTACCAGAGTTAAAAGAAAATCTCAGGAGGAGCAATATTGTGTTTTCAAGTTGTTGTTGTTGTTTTCACCCTGTGCAGGAAAGGATCATTTCTGGTTCGATCTCTCCATCAGAGAATCATGTCCCCCAATATCCCTGCTCTGCAAAATGCCACAATATTGATAGTAAATATAGTATGTATGGAAATGAAGGAGGAAAACGTATGCACACATTTCAGTGGTGGTGCAGGGCCTGGAAACATACAGTTCATCATTGCATCGTAATTTCTCATTTTCAGGACACTGACTCTAAAACTACTGCAGTATTAGTGTCTCGTGTTCTTGTATTGGGATTCCAAGGCTTTAAAAAGTGTTTGAAGCTAGAAAAGCAAGGCTAGTTTATTTGGACCCATGATGTGTGATGGAAGAAAAGGTTGCAAGGAAATATAAAATGCTACACACACACACACACACACACACACACACACACACACACACACTGAGCCCCATGGAAGGCAAAGCAGGTTACCAGTAAAAGAAACAACATACTAGTAAGTGTCAGGATCTCTTGGAAGCTTAAGTTCTAAGACCCTGGGAGGAGAGCTCACAATGACATAAAAGAAAAGCAATTGTAATAAAAGTAAGTTATTTTAACCCAAACAGCTAAGATTGTTGTTTCTTTCAACTACAACTCCCCATCTTGGTTGGGTGGTATTCAATTATGAGCATTTGGGGACCCAGTAAAAAGGAAGGCAAGTCGAGGATAGATCTTGTTTTGTGTTTATTGGGAAAGTGGAATATGTTTATGTGGTTTTTCAGTCACTTTGTGTTAGGTACATGATTGTTAGTTAGCTGTGCACATTGAGCAATGATTTCCAGGAATAATCCTATGATCAGTGAGTATAACATACCAAGCAAGGATAGAGTGGTCACATCATAATTAAAGCATGTCTTTCAGTGTCCAACCCCAGGAATATGGTGAGTACCAGAATAAAAACATGATTTGAACTCTACAGAGCCAGAAGTTAATCTATGGAACATTCTTCTAATTAGCAGACCTACTAAAAGATAAACAGAGGCTTTAGGGTTCACTAGTGCCTGGTCAGGTAGATTTTTCCTTGATAGAGGCTGCTCCAATTTTGATAATAATCCCCAAAAGGCCTGTAAAATCAACCTAAGTTGTGACACTTGAAAAAAAAACCTTTTCTCAATAAATCAATAATAAAAAATGCAATTAAAATTCTTTTTTTTTCTCTACGAAAAATACATTATAAAACTGATGTCATGAAAAGGCAATCAAATGATGCCAAAAAATGTATTTTGTTTTATGTTGATGGCATTTGTCAGCTTTTTCAAATGTCTATTGTGTTGTGATTCTCACTCTAAAAAGATGCTCTTGCATACCTAATTTTATATTCATAATTTTCCTTCTCCTTCTTAAAGAATTATATAAGCTTCATACCACCCAAAACTTGTCTCTATCCTTCTAGCTAGCTGACTTGAAATCTCAATGCAGATTCTCAAGTCAGGCCTTCAACCTGAGCAGCTTCTGGTAGATCCACACTGATCTCAGTCGCAGAGCTCTTTCTTCACCTCCCATGCTCCAAGGGCTTTAATTTCCATTAATCACTCGATGGTCTCTCTAACCATAATTCCAAGAAGCTCTAGTGACCTAGTGGTTACCCCTTGGGCTGCTAACCACAGGTCAGGAGTTTGAAACCACAGTCACTCCATGGGAGATGGAAGGGGCTTTCTACTCCTGCAAAGAGTTAAACTCTGGGAAACTCACAGGAACAGTTCGTCCCTATAGGGTCGCTGTGAGTTGGAATCAGTTCAATAGCAGTGAATGTGGTTCTGAGGATTTCTTAGTCAATTTTGGGAGAGAGAAGAGGTGTTCTACTCCCATAACGAGATACAGTCTTCAAGACCCACAGAGGCCGTTCCATTCTGGCCTACACGGTACTACGAGTCCGAATGGACTTGGTGGCAGGGAGGCTGCTGTTCAGTCTCAGTCGCTCCTGACCACGACTACATCTTGTTTTTCATCTTCATGTGGAATCACTCCATAGCCAGAATCTTAAATTCCGAAGTATCCGTAATTTATACGGCGCAGATTTTTAAAAGGCCATTGATCTATCCTGACTTTTGGCAACAGAGTAGAACTGTCCTGCATCAGATGTCCAGAACACAATAACAACATAATATAAATTTGGGAAAACTGAAAAATACCACCAACATAAAAATTATATATTCTTTGGGGGACGTAGGTCACTAGACATTTTTTTCCAGGCACCTCAGGGTGAACTTGATCCTCCAACATTCCAGTTAGCCCCCAAGTACATTAACCATTTACACCAGTCATGGACTCCAACTAGATCAAATTCTTTTTTCCAAAATTTGTGTTATGTACACCCATGAGTTGCTATGGGTAGGAACCAACTCGATGCCACCCAACAACAAGCATGCACACATCTCACTTGGAGGAAGTACAGTGCAGGGTCAGAGGAGAGGAGGAAGACCTGAAAAGTGATTGATAAGCATATTGGCTGCAACTAGGCTTAAACATAACTAAAACGGTGAGGATGGGGCAGGATCAAGTAGTGTTTCATTCTGTTGTACATAGAGCCACTGCGCGTGAGAGCTGACTTGATGGCATCTAACAACAGCAGCAATAAAGCACGTGCATGTGTGTGCACATGCACCCATACTATGAATTACTTTAATACATTTCATTTTCCTTTTTTGTCTTCCTCACCTTCCCTCCTCATCCTGACTTCTCTACTGTTCAATCCAAAGTTTCCATACTATATAAATATTTCTCTACACCTTGCTTTTTCTATAGTTCACTGAAATCCCTCCCAAAATCAGCCCATTAGTACTTTAATAGCTGTATAATATTTCATGGTATAAATATGCTATAATAAATTTAAGATGCTCACTCAGTTTATTTCCAGTTTTGTAGTTGTTGTTGCAATTTGGAACAATATTGCAATAAACATTATTTGACATAGCTCTTGGTACTATTGCATAGGATTTCCACTACTGAGATTGATGATTTAAGGGGTATATATTTAAATTTTTCACAGTTGTTGTTATAGTGATAAAAAAAAAAAGACCATTGGAGGAGGAGTCAAGATGGTGTCCAGGTAGAATCACCCATCAGGTGATCCTGTTGTTAGATAAGAAAATTAAGAGGTAAGGAGGTCAATATTGGGAGGCTGGGTCCTCAAAATATATTTGGTGTACTTGGGTCTGGTTCAGACCTCACCCTGTAATTTTTGCCCATGCAGTGATTCAAGAACTTGCTGAAATGCTCTAAATTCACTGCATCTGCCTGAAGGCTCCACTAATCCCTCACCAGATCCAGCAGGAGAGCATCCACCAACCCTTTCTACACCCAAGATCTGAAATTCGCAGCATGCAGTAGTTTCCCCAAGCTGCTGTCTAAAGGTGGTCATAATTCCAGGCTACCTGAGAGCCTCCAAGAACTAGCCCCAAGACCTCACACCAGAGTTCCCCGCTCTGCTATGCACCCCACTCCTGCTGAACTCTTGAGCTTTGCATCCTCCCTCCCCAGCCATGAGTGATTGACTATATCAGCCATCCCCATTCGCTCTCTTCCCCACTCCCTGACTGCCAGGGTAGCCATAGATAATTAGTCACAAAATTGCAGCAATTGAAGAGCCCCTGTGATATTACCCATGAAATAGCTATGGAGGAGAGAGCTGGAAGTGACACAGGAGTGCAGCCGGGGGTGAATCCAGATCCAGTAGGCCCCCACCAACTTGACTAATCTGCTTCCCCTTTCCCGTGGAACAGCCCAGGATGCCCCACAAAATCACTATAAAAAGAAATAATTTTTTTTTAATTCACTTTCCTTCTTAAGTAAGGGCCACAGGATACAGGCTCAGCAGGTGCCAGCGGGAGCAAGCCAGCTGGCTTAGTGAACAGAACCCATCACCTTCCTAGGCTCCCAGTTACCCGTTTAACTACAACCTAAGGCCTTTCACCTGTCTGGGTCCCCGGGCAGGAGGGTCAGAAGTCATTGTCACTCTCATCCAGAGGCTCGGGTTTTCGGACCCTCCGACTGGGCTTCGCTGGGGACAGAGCAATGCTCTCCTCTTCCAGGTCGTCATCATCTTCCTCGTCGTAGTCTTCCAAGTCAATTTCACTGTGTTCCGAGTCCTCCTCATCATCTGAGTCTCCGCCTTGCATTGTGCCCATGATGCGCTTGTTGGGTCTCCCTTGCATGAGCACCTCCATGGCTGTGCGCGGCTTGGACAGGCGGCTCTCTTCCAACTCACGGTCCGAGTCCTCATCCTCCTGGATGTCAATGTCGGAGTCGTTGTTACTTCCATCTTGAGCAGCCGCTTTTCCTCCTCCTTCAGCTTGCTCTGCATCAGACGCAGGGTGTTCTCCGCTTCGTCAAACTTCTCTTGTTCCATCCTGTGATGGTCCTCAAGCTGCTGTTCCAGGTAAGTCAGGTTGCGGAATTTCTCCAGATAGATGTCGTACTGCTTCTGCAGCTCTTCCTCAATCTTCTCGTATTCGTCCATAAAGGCGGGCCTGACGCTCTGCAGAGTCTGCAGCCGCTTTCAATTTCTCTCAAGTTCCAGTTTTCACTTTTCAATTTTGGCTTCTAAATTTGCTTCATCAGAGGCCATGTTATTGAGCAAGTCTTTGGTCTTCTGCACCTGCACTAGAATGTCCTTTATTGCGATCCTCATCACTTTCTCAGTCTCGTTTATTTCCAGAGGTCTGGCGATTGCCTCGGTTCTCAGTTCCCGCAACTCCACCTCCTTGCCCAGCAGGTCATACAGGGAAGCACCTTTGGAGGTGATCTCAGAAGCAAGCTGTCTGGCTGCTTTCAGATCTGCAATCTTCGAGCCAAGATCAAGCTTGAACTTGCTGATGTCTTCCTCCCCTATTCTCGAGCTCTCCATCCCTTTGGTCTTCATCGCGTTGTGCAGCACAGACGTGATCTTTAGAAGCTCTTTAACCGCGTACCCATCAGCTTGATAGAGCTTCTTAGTGTTGAGTTTTAGATGGGCTTTGGTGGCCATGATCTGGGCAATCGCCTTCATGAAGAAAACTAGGTCTTGTTCCGGCTCGATATCAGAAGGGATGTCTGTTTGCGGTTCGTACCTTTTCACCAACCAGATGAGCACTTCAGATACAAGTCCAAAGTTGGGTGTGTGGAAATTCCCCATGGAAATGTGCTGCGGATATCCTAAGGCTCTCATCATCTCCGTGAAATTGCGGAGGTCGAGGAAAGACATGGCACTCTGGTCGGCAGAAGCTCCGAATTGCTGCTGTAAGCACCTCGGCACCCACAGGCCTCGCCTCTCTGGTTTCTATCAAAAAAAAATTTTTTAACATTTAGAATTCCAAGGTGTGTTCCTTTGTGTAACTATGAGTGTAAGCAGCCAGAAACCTGGTCCTACTCCATTAGCATAATATTAACATAACAAGACAGGCATAACTCTAATCCCCAGAGCCCAGCCTAGGATTTTAACATAATAAAACCGGAAAAGTCAGGGGCTGAAAGCCACAGCCTAAACCAAAAATTACCGTTACCAGTTTTGGGCTCCTCAGAGTCTTTAAAAGACTGAAAATTGTGACCAGGCAGTCCAGACCAGGCCCATGCCCATGCTGCATGCCCCCCAACCTAGCCCAGTGGCATACCTACAATTGCCGGCTTCAGCACACCCTCCAAGGTCCCCACTGCCTCTGCCCACTGAGTCCTCATGGCACCTAGCCTACACAGCAGCACAATCCACCGCTATATTAGGCCACAAGTAGTTCCTGAAACCACTCTTTCCAGTCACACAGAGAAAGAGCTTGGGCCCCTCAGTCTCCTGGGAACATGATGCCCAGTTATTTCAAAACAACACACAGACAGCAACATACCTCAACACCCTCAACAAGAAAACAAGAAAAACAAAACGCAACATCAGAAGACGTCCTAAAGCTAACAACACTCATATAAGAAACAGAGGTTGATCTGCAACAAAATGAAATCTTCAGAATGATGCTTGGACTAATACAGAATATGAAGGAAGCAGCACAGAATAAGGATGCAATGATAACTACAGAACCTTACTACAGGAAACAAAAAGTGCTCTCCACAAATAGAAGACTGTCCCAGGCTCTTGGATCGGAAGACTCAATATAGTAAAGATGTCAATCTTTCCTAATACACTGTATAAGTTTAACACTATCCTGCTTCAAATACCAACAAGTTTCTTCAAAGAATTGGAAAATCTGACCATCAATTTCATAGGGATAGGAAAGAAGCCCAGAATTAGCAGAGAACTGCTCAAGAAGAAGGACAAAGTTAGAGGGCTCACCTTACCTGAATTTTACAGCTACTATACAGCCACAGTGGTCAAAATATCGAGGTACTGGAAAAATGACAGATACTCAGACCAATGGAAAAGAACAAAAAACCCAGAAATAAAACCATCAGCATATTGACAACTGATCTTCAACAAGGGGCCAAAAGGCATCAAGTGGGAGGTGGATGTCCTCTTTAACAAGTGGTGCTGGAAATAAACAAGACCCTTACATCACCCCATGCAAAAGAACAAACTCAGGGTGGATCATAGACCTAGAAGTAAAACCCCAAACTATTAGGACCATCAATGAAGGAATCGTTGAGACAAACCTAAGTACCTTGGCACAGGGACTGCATAGGGTAACTATAATAGGGGAGGGTACACACACAAATGAAGCTGAAATCAACAAATGGGATATACTAAGGATAAAACACCTGTGTGTCCAAAGACTTCACCAAGAGAGTCACAAGAGAACCCACAGACTGGGAGAGGATTTTTAGCAATGACACAATAGACAAAGGGCTTATTACTAAAATCTACAATACCCTCCTAGCCTGCAAAAAGAAGAAAACAGTTAACCCCCTGAGGAAGTGGGCAAAAGACCTGAACAGAAGTTTCACTAGGGAGGAAACCTGAATGGCCAATAAACATATGAGAAAATGTTCCTGATAATTATCCAGCACAGAAATGCAGATTAAAACAACTATGAGATACCACCTAACACCCTTGGGGATAACCCAAATCAGAAAAGCAGAGAGCAACAAATGTTGGACAGGGTGTGGAGAGATAGGAATTCTCCTCCACTGCTGGTGGTCATGTAGATACATACAGCCACTGTGGAAAGCCATCTGGTGATATTTAAAGCAAATGGAAATTGAGTTACCTTATGCTTCAGCAATCCCTCTACAGGGTATAGACCCAGAATAGGTAAGAAATAGACCACGACCAATTGGCTGCGCTCCAATGTTTATTGCAGCACAATTTACAATTGCAAAGAACTGGAAACACTTAAATCTCCATCAATTGAGAAGTGGATTAGAAAACTTTGGCACATACACACAGTGGAGTACTATGCATCACTAAAAAGCACTGATGATCCCATGAAGCATACTATCTCATAGAAAGAGTTGGAGAAATTATGCTAAGCAAAGTTGACCAATCACAAAAGGGCAAGAACAACATGAGTCCACTAAGGTATGTATAATGAGCACAGTAGGTATTTTAAAAAGCACTTATCTCACACTTAACAGCTTGAGGTACAGGCAATCAATCGGTGGGGAACACAGGCTGAACCCAAGGATGTACATGTTATTCCAACACAAAGAAGAGGAAGGGGGTGGGGAGGGAGAAAAGGGGGGGGAATAAGAGGGAGACAATGGCACTGGGGGAGCCAGCCACTAATCCACCAGGGGGAGTGTATTGTTTATGCCTCCACAGAAATGGTAGTGTGAGTGCAGACCCCACCATGGTGCGCCAAACCATGAGGGCAACGTAACCACATGGAGCAACTCAGGAACAGGGAGGTCTACAGGGCCAGCCCCAATCAGAGCCAAACTGACTCCCCACCCCCCACCCTGCACTAGAAGTATGTACTACAGAGGACAGCACTAAACCTACAGGTTGAGGAGAGGGGTAAACCTGCCACACCCATACAGAAGCAAACCAAAAAGGAAAAAGAGAGAACAAGGGACTGGACCCCATACTGGAACACCAAGTCTTGAGGATGATGTCCCTGCACAGAGCTGCTAAGGCACAGAGAGGACTGTAGGGCTAACAACAGACTGAGACATGATGTCCCCATGCTGGAGCACACCACAACAAAGGACAATACTGGGGACACACAGTGGGGAGTGAGTCCAGTCTGCCACCCTGCCCTGAGTGGGGTGAACCAAGAAGGGAACATAACAGCTCAGAATGGGAGCAAAGCAAAGCAAAAACCACAACTCCCCTAAGGAGCCCCAAATATAGACTTCAGGTTAGTAGGGACAGTTCCTAGAATCCCCAAGGACAGGTGGGGAGATAGTCATAAAGGTCCACAGACAGACCTGGAATTATGTATGCTTTTTCATTTTTGTTTTTGTTTTTTGCTAGGGTTTTTCTTTTTTTCTCCTCTCTCTTTTTATTCAATCTTTTGTTTTGTCTCCGTTATTGTTGTTTTGCCTACCTATATAAGATAGGTATGGAAGCAAGCCCAAGAAGAAACAATGAAGACTGGTCGTTCCGGAGGGACTTGGTGGGAGATGGAGGTGAGAGAAAGGAGCAGTGAGCAAACAACACCATAGACAGGGGAACAACTAGGGAATGAAAGCAACAACAAGGAGGATGTAGAGTTCCCAAAGCTGTTGGAGCAGCAGCAATCTAGCTGAGAGGAATTACTAAATGGAAGAAGAAAGGTAAGATTGCTTGTGGGGCAGGAGGAAAGTAAAAGGAAACAGAGGCAAGATCTAGGAAGCAAAACTGTGGATAGAGGTATAAACATAGGTGTGGACTTGTGTAAATAAATATACGTCAATACACTGAAGAAGTGGACAGACTGTGGGCCTCTGCTCAACCTTCCTTAATACAAGAACACTTTGTTCTAACAATCTGGCATTCTGAGAGGCCAACTCTCCTAATATGATCACTGAAGACACAACGGGTGCATAAGCAAATGTGGTAAAGAAATTTGATGGTGCTCAGCTATCAAGAGATATAGCATCTAGGGTCTTAAAGGTTTGAAGTTAAACAAACGTCCATTAGCAAAGAAAAAAGTCCATATGGAAGAAGCACATCAGCCTATTCAATCATGAGTTATTGATGGAATCAGGTAACAGGCACCAGAAGACTCACACACACATACACACACACAAAAAAACTTTGTTGAGAACGTAGGGGGTCGGAGCAGAGACCCAAAGCCCATCTGTAGACAATAGGATATCCCCTCACAGAAGGGTCACAAGGAAAGGTTGAGTCAGCCAGGGTGCAGTGTAGCACTGATGAAACACACAATATTCTTCTGATTCTTCAAGGTTTCCTCACCCCCTATTATCCTGACCCCCAGTCCTGCTTTTTAGTTCTAGCTAGACCAGAGCATGTACATTGGTACAGATAATAGCTCACAGCACACGAAATCCAAGTCAGATAAACCCCTCAGTAACAGAAATGGGAGTAGCGATACCAAAAGCTAGGGGGAAGGTGGGGGAAGAGGGGAGGAAGGGAGAACTGATTGCAATGATCGACACATAACACCCACTTCCCTGCACCCCAGGGGGATGAACAAGAGAAACGAGGAAGAAGGCAGACAGTGGTCAGTGTAAGATGTGAAAATAATAATAACTTGTAATTTATCAAGCAATCGCAAGGCTGGGGCAGGCAGGGGGAGCTGATACCAAGGGCTCAAATAGAAAGTAAATATTTAGAAAATGATGATGGTAACATATGTACAAATATTCTTGATACAATTGATGTATGGAATGTTACAAGAGCTGTAAGAGCCCCCAATATTAATGATTTAAAGGAAAAAAATTAAAAGACTAATAACAATTCCCATTTCTACCTGTGGAGTATGAGAAACTCCTTTCTGCCTATTTAGCCACAATAAATGTTGTTACCCCTTTTATAACTTCTCAATCTTAAGTGCATAATGTCACTTCACTGTTACATACATGCAAATATATTTTTCCAAATTTATTATATTTTCCTTTACAGATTTTTACGTCTTATAACTTATATACAATGGAGCATGCAATGGTGTGTGGCATGCTCAAGTGGCTTATAAAGACTTACCCTGCCACTAGGTTACATGTTGTTATTGTTCTTGGGTGTCGTCAAGTCAGTTCCAGCTCCTAGAAACCGTCTGTATAGCAGAGAGAAACACTGCCGAATCCTTAGAAAAGTGCTGCCTGAGCCGCTCTTGCAGCCACTGTGTCAGTCATCTTCTTGAAGTTCTTCCTCCTTTTCCT